GCTCGCACGCGCAGGGACGGCCGGCGATGGGACTGTGCGCGCACTGCTGGGTTCGTGACTAGGCTAGATGAAGCGACACTACCAAAAAAAATTTTTGGCACACCGTATGTTATGTTTCGTTTAAACTGTAAAAGAATGAGACGATTTATATACATCCATCATAAATTATGAAGCTATGAAATTAGAATATAACAGTATTGGAAGACGTAGTATTAACATTGTTTATTGTTTTTGCTTCTTTCTTTATATTCTTTTGCTCCGTTTTTCTGTGAGTAGACAGCGTGAGAAAACGTTTCTTCAAAACAAGTCTTGCTACAAACTTTTGATTATTCATCAAAATAATTTACAGCAGAAAAATCTCTATATTAAATTTTAAATGAATGATCCTAACATTCTCCTCATCTTTCTATTATTATTATTATTATTATTATTATTATTATTATTATTATTATTATTATTATTATTATTATTGCGTCTTCGAACACGTAAAGTCTGCTTTTTCTTCTTAAAAGAGAGTTGTCGCAATGCGAATCCAATTCAATCCCGCATCTTGTACTAGTCGATCAGAGTAAGCTTCATATCCTTTGCCTAGAAAAGAACTTTTTTCTCTACCTGACGGACGTCTTATCTGAGCGTGTGGGAGACTTCATGGCCGACAAGAATCGATGAAAACAGAAGTAGCATCGTGAGCTCAGTGGGCATCGTGAGAGAATGACTAACTATTTACAAACATCATCTGGTCTATCGTTCGCTGGTTTAATTTCTCTCATAATTAAAATTTATATGAAAAATAATTAATATAATTTTTCGGGAGCTCAATCGTACATAAAATATCATAAATGGCTTACGAAATGTTTAAGTAAGAAATGTGCTTCGGCAGGGCAGTAATAGTGCAGGAGAGGTAAATGAACTGAAGGGCGACATCTCGTAATGTTGTTTGCTGGAGGTATCATTATGTGGTTAGTTGCAAAATCTAAGCCTTTTTCAGACGGACTGTTGGGGGTAAATAAAGTTTCCGTCAGTTTTCAATATTCAGTATTCCGTTTATTTGTGAATACTCTAGTTAAAACGTACTCGTATTTATTCTATGTACTTTTAAGAACTGCAAACGGATATGGCAAGCGCTTCAGAAAATAATTAATGATACCAGGTAAAACAGCAATGACACAATATTTCATGGCCCTTATTAAGCTCCTTGTAATAATGTATATTATGCTGCATAGTCGGGTGCTCAGGAAAAGTAAAACGGAACATACGATACGCCTAGAACCAAAACGAAAATTTTCATTTTGGTTCTAGGCGTATCGTAAAATTTTTCATTTTTAGAATGAGAAATTCACATTGATATGAAGTCTTAAAAACTGTCTTGTCTCTTCCATCATAACTCTCAGAAGATAGAAGTAGTACGTAAGTCTATTCTATGAAAATAGTTCGAGCACGTTCTGAGAAAGGCCACAAACCAAACTGTGTTATTCGGGAGGCCGAAATGACTTCCAAGAAACACGAAGCGGACGTGAGATAGGCCAAGCTTCAGCAAGATTGAAATAAACTTTTTTGGAAAAGTTATCTTTCTCCTTTGTGATAATTTCATTATAGTTAAATTTTAACTATTTTAAAGTTTACAATCAGTTATTTTATTGAACGATGGAAATAGAAACTTATTAACAAACATATAAGGCATCGTAACCAGATTCCGAATTCCTTTGATGCCCCATTGATAACTATTTCTTCACTCTCCATGTCTTCTTTTTGTTTTACTTTTTTATTTTGTTTGCAATATATTACTCATTTTGAAAAAAATACTTAAATTAAATCGAAGTTGTACAAGAATTAATTCACTGCCAATTTCAGGTGTGAAATGTTTCCATGTATGTAAATGTTCTTAATTGGCTATTGACATTCTGTCAAAAACTGTCAGTTTTCAGTTTCACATTATATTTTAACACAAGTACTGCCAAAATAAATTTGAAAGACAAATTTTGAAATATAAAAAAATTAATTTTCAAATATAAATATATTTTCAAATAGAAAAATATCATTTACAGGAAATATGGCATTAATTTTCCGATAAGAAATATCAACCCGTATGCTGTACGTCATTTACTCAATTTAGGATTTACCGCGTTCTTGTGTTATTATTTAAAATGTTGGGACCAATGTGATGAAAATCGTTACCTATTGGACGCAGCCGTCACCGGCTAGACACGTACCTTGAGGCTTCCCGGTAAAACATGTTGCAGAGAAAAGTAAGTTACCCCTGAGGCATCACAGTCGGAACATCGTTTTAACAATAGTTGGTGAGACCTAGAGATAAGGACAGGACGGGGGTTAAATGGAGACCGGGTGCATCTTGCATGCCAGAATCATTACTGACTACTTCTATGACCTACTGAACATCGATGCGCAACTCAGAACATCCACAATCACCACCGACCACGCGGTATTAGAGTTCAAGCCTTGGTGAAATGCGTGTTCAGCACTCCTGCGTCACCAGGACGCTCCAGCTTCACGCACCGGGAGAGGTGGTTCAGGGCATCAACTGATGTCACTGCAGTGCCTCTGACTGGGAGGTCCTGGGGTTCGAGTCCAGACAGTGGCAGGATTTTCGGCAGGTCCAGTTCAGTCGCTGTTTGGACGAGAATTCCCGGGGCCGACTGCTCCGATCGGTAGTTTTCCGTGGATTCTCCTTTTAATACCAGGCGAATGTCGGAGCAGTACCCTAATAAACGAGCAATTGACCGCACCCCATCTTTCCTTCCTCTCCCTTGTCTCATCCTCACCCCTTACACTAACTCTTACATGCACTACACTATCACACATGTTCGGAGACCGGTGAGGAGCTTAGAGCTTGTCCCGGCTGGGGCGGTGCCCCGCTGCTGGGAGATATCTGGTTGGGGAAAACCCCGCTAGCCTACAGTAGGTCGCCGCCGGATCTCACCGTCCAGCGGAGGAAGACCACAGTCACTTCCCGAGGAAAAAACACGCACGACACTTCCGGGACCAGTGAGCTTAGCAGTTGACGCTCCGTAATTTCTAATGAATGAATCCGGCTTCATGCACTCTAATGCGTCCTCTTTCTTTCGCACCACGCACCATCCCCCCCCTTACACGCGCGCGTGAAGGCCTTAGCCGCGGCCGAGTCACGGCGAACAGCCGCGTCACTCGGATAACCCGCCCGGCCTATGCAAATTGGGGACCAGACGGAAAATAAGAGATTAATCCGTATGTGAATTGTGACAATAAGGAAAATAAGTTTAACCCATATGTAAATTGGGGACCGACCCAGAGATGAGCATACGTAAATTGGGGACTGAGTATCTCATCACGTTCCTGATAAAAGTGGAAGGTGACACTTTATTTTCGAACAACATTTTCTTTGCCATTAATCGTAAATTCGTAATTATTAAAACACAACTCCCTTCCCAAATTTACAACGTTAGGACTGACACATTTCTTTTTTAATATGCTTTGGTTAAAGCTGGTTTTCATTCTATTGAATAATTCGTTGTTAAATGAATTGGATCATTTTGTTGCACTAGTACTAGTCTTTTCAAAACTTGCTGTATTTCGCCTTTTTCAATTACATACGAGATGCACAAAATTGTTATGACTTGCATAGCTATGTAAGGTATTTTACAAAGGAAATTATACTTATCTTGCCATTTTTCCTCTTTCTTACCCAATATATTGTATAACGCCGAACATGAAATTTGGATACTAGTGCTTTATTTGATTTTCATTTTGAAATAGGGACGGGGCTGGAACATTTTCAATAAGACACTAGGAAAAAGTGGAAGCAGAACTCTGGCGGCGGCCCCTTTAACGCGCTTATCTGCTCAATTAGTCCTTTTCCTTACCTGGATTGGTTTGGTCCGCAACTTACATATATTAAAATTAGAAAGTACGTTTTGCGAGAAAAGATGAAGGGATTATTTAGTCCTTCATTTACATAAGGTCCAACTTAGAGCTTCTTCCGGTTGGGGCGGTATCTGGAAAGAAAGTCTCCTGTCAGCTGAAGCGTAGGTCAGCACGAATCACGAATCGCGCCATCCAGCAGGGAAGGCACACCACCACCTCATGAGATAAATGGGATAAATCATACAAATGTTGAACATGCAAATATACTAACGGGACTAATGAGCATAGCAGTTTACATGCCGGCAAGATCAATCTAGTCCTTTGTGAGTTGCAAGGCTGATACAGCTCGGAAAACAATAATGTTTGAATCATGGCCTTTATTTTTAAAAAAATGTAATAGTATTAACACGTACGGGGGGCGATTTGGTACCCAATTTACATGCAGAATTAGAAAATACGTTTCGCGAGAAAAGATTATAGGATTCTTTTGTCACCAATTTACATGTAAAATAAGTTTCGCGAAAGTAAGTTTCGCGAGGAAATATGTATGGATTATTTGGCCCCCGATTTACACGTAGAATTAGACTAAGTTTCGCGAGGAAATATGAATGGATTGTTTGGTCCCCAATTTACACGTAGAATTAGAAAGTAAATTTCGCGAGGAGAGATGCAGGGATTGTTTGGTCCCCAATTTACACGTAGAATTAGAAAAGTGAGGTTCGCGAGAAAGATGAAGGGATAATTTGGTCCCCATTTAACACGTAGAATTAGAAAGTAGAGTCGCGAGAAAAGATGAAGGGATTATTTGGTCCGCAATTTACAAGTACGAATTAGACATTAACGTTGTCGCGAGGAGATAGGGAATGGTTATGGTCCGCCATTTTTACCACGTAGATATAGAAAGTAAGTTTCGCGAGAATGATGAAAGGTTAATTTGGTCGCCAATTTACACGTAGAATTAGAAAGTAACGTTTTCGGAGGAGAGATGGCAGGGATGGTTGGTCCCCTATCATACGTTAGACGAAGTCCAGGTATGCAGGGACGTTGCCCCAGTGCCTTGCGGCGCGGCGACGGGAGGAGCGGGCGGGGCCCCGGCGGCCGCGACGGAATGCCGCGGCCGCTGCGGGAGTCCCGCTGCTCCGCCGCCGAGGCATTTTTTGACGAGCCGCGCCGCTTGCGCACCTACGCACGCAGCGAGCGCGCCCGCGAGGGGCGCTTATTCGACGACGGGGCGAACAACACAAGCGCCTTCCCAAATAACGCCAACGGATTGGAGGGCGGTGTGAACGTAGGAGGTACAACGGGGGCGGGGGATACAACGGGGGCGATTCTGGCGGGAGTCCTTTGAATTAATACGCTCTAAGGTTTCAAGTGGTTAAGATGATGTTCGTCTAATGTCCGATCCGAAGCCTGAATGATTAGACTTATTACGTGAAATAAGACAGTCATTGCAGAAATTAAAAATAAAACATGTGTGCCAACTTCGTAAGCTTATTTTTATTTTTCCTCATTTTCATTAAATGCAAAAAAATCCTATTTTTCCTTTTAAAAATCGATTTATTTTTCGTGTCGAGTGGTTGTTACTCTCTAAATTGTTTTAACAGCAGCGGAACAACAGAAACAGCGTCGTAAATAGCGGCACAAATGACCACAATGAGTAGCAAATAATGTCGCCAACGGTTGCGAAGGTGAGGCGTCAACGTAGGCGGTACAATGGCGAAGTTATTTGAACGAATACACTGCAGTATTTACAAGGTTAATGCGCAAATACCACACAACATATTAACATATTCTCTGAAATATTAGATGAAAGGCTTGTCATGAAATGAGAAATAGTAAGCTATCTTTGCTACTTGGTCTTGTTTCCTTAATAGCATTACAGGCGGAAAAAACTCTCTCAATTTTCTCATTCAATTTCATTTCTTTTTTCATTTTGAGTATCTCTTGTTTGCTCGCACGATTTAACAGCGTCGAAACAACAACAACAACACAAAAGTCTTCGTAAATAGCAGCTTGAATGACTACAACGAGCGGTAAATAAAGACGACAACGGCTTGGAGGGCAATGTCAACGTAGGCGACAGCAACGATTCCAGCGAGAGTTTTTTTGAATTTAGACGTTGTAAGGTTCAAGTGGTTACTACGCTAGTCGTGTCAACCTGAAGTCTGAGTGCTTAGACTTACTGCATGAAATATGATACACCTTTGTAGAAATGAAATACGAAATGGGTGTGCTACCTTTGTAACCGTATTTAAACTGTTGCCTTATATTGATTAAATTCAGAAAACAGTATTTCTCCTTCTTTTTCAAATATAATTTAATTTTTAATGTCGAGTGGCAATTATTCACTAGCGTGTTTTAATAGTATCGAAATGACAGAAAAGTGATTGTAAATAACATCGTTAACAATTACGATGTGTGGCAAACAATGACGCGAACTGTTGGAGAGACAATGTTAACTTCGGCGATATAGCGTGGACATCGACGCCGAGGGAGCCATTTACTTTAACACAGTGAATGTTTTAGAGGTTACTAAGTTGCATTTATTTCCTATTGCCCGAATTGGAATTGTTTTATTCTTTGTAATGATAGACGGAACAATAACAAATGGAGTTCCACTATTCACTTTTGTTACCCTATTTTTATTATACGTAGAAAACGAAATTCCTCCTAATTATCGAATATAAATTTTATTTTTTGCATTTCCGCCCGGAATAAAAGACAGAAAAAGTGTTCTGTAACTTTTATTGCTTTTATTTTTCTACTTTTAATTTATAATTTTTTTATTTTATTTACTTTCATTCGCTCTCAAAATTCTAGAATTTTTCTAAGAAGAATGTCTTTGTTACGTGTTGTGAATTGATGTTTCCGGCAATAGCTGTCTTCTTCCAAAGTGCTTGCCAATGTCGCAGGTTTATTCTCTTGAACTCCTACGAAAAAGACCCGTTGTGGGAACGTAGGCTCAAGCGAATCTGATGTATTAGGCGTCGCCCACCATTTGACGCGGCCGACGCAATTAATCTCCGTAAAATGCCAGAAGCCAAACTAATTAAATGTAGTTCATTCTGAAATTCTTGGTAAAAAGGTTTGCCATATAGAACATTTTATAGTTCGGGTAATCAGCAAATTCAAAAATAAATGTATGAAAGGAATGTTTTCTGCATTGCACACTACAATGAATCCTGAATGTTAAAACAGAGCGTTTGGAATGACTTATTTAGCAACATCCTGAGTTGTAGATACTAGGTGGCTATATACTAGGCTTCAGGTAATAAAGAAGAATATTTTAACTGAAGCTTAGTATTCGGGAAAAAACGCGCTTGAATCATTGCATGTTCTCGTATTGTGATGCCCTGCCAATAGTTTTAAGGGAAATTTTCACTCTCATTTTGGTGAAGTTGTTTACATTCAGCTTCAAGTGACATTAAAGCTACTCCCATTATTTATTAAATATATCTACGTTGTTATTGGTATTAAAATTTAGAAATGAAAATTATTTTACAAATAGTTTCATTTAAGGTGGGAAAAAATATATTTTTCGCAATAGGGCCCAAATTCAATTTTATAATCGAGTCAATATGATGATTTGTCTTTAGAAAATTCCTTCCACGATCTGTGTCCTGTAGGACACAGCGTCCATTGCAACCCTAAGTGCAGCAGTGGGTGCAAACGTGGAAGCGACCGGAGTTTGTAGGTGTTTATTATTTGTCCGGAGGATACCGCGTCCTAAACATTGTTCTTAACGATTCGGTAGCAACACTGCGACGTTCAGGGCGAAATGCTAGGTATTCTTTAGAGCATTTCACCATGCAGTAGTTTGTGGTAAGGCGACCAAAACATTATCAATCTTGCCTACGATGCGAATTCTTCCCAGCAACCGAGTATCAACCCAAACATTACCGACGGCGGCGCGGAAGCAACGTACGAGTAGGGAGTCAGGGCGCCGAGGGAGAAAGAGATCTGGGGCAACCACGAGTGCTCCTTATTTCAAACAAAAGTTTCTCCCCATTTAGAATTATATCTTATTGTAATAAATATATACTTTAAAGTAACTTCCACTAGGGTTAAATAAATATTGGTTTTTGTAAAAAAAATATATATATTGTAGAAAAGACAGTTTGTATAAATGTTTAGAATTATATTTTCAACAGCTGCATCCTTATGAAAGTGTATTATAAATTATGATAAAGTACACATACTTCATTACTCTTTATTTTAAAATTTTGATTTAAATCTTTCGAGCTTTTAGTAGAATGAATTAATCTATTAGTATGTGGTCAAAACGCATCTCCCTTGCTTTCTGTGCTAAACATGAGTAAGTGGTTCAGTCCAAGACTCCCCCAAATACTGTCGAGGCCCCAAATGACGTCGGAGCAACAGGCAAGTAGACCCAGCGCCCTCCCCCTCCGGACGCCTTCAACAGCGACACCGCCCCTCTCCTCCCCCTCGACGTCGATATTTACAAAACATCGATGTTTTATAGAATTGGTGGTTTTATAAAGAACGTGGATGACGATGTTTTCAAAACATGGATGTTTTTGTAGACTCATCGATGTTACTCTAACATGGATGTTGTTTTAACATCGATGTTTTTACTTATGCGATATTTTGTTTGTGAATGAAAAATGTCCATGGTCATTATTTTGTTAGCTAAATATGAAATAATAACGGACCTTCTTTGGAGCTGAAGGCTGACCCTTGGAGACGATTTTGAGTACGTGCACAGGCTTTCAGGTCCGGTATCATCTATTGTTATTTTAATTTTTTTATTTTTGTTAAATCTTAATTTTAAATTAATAAACACACTATTATCAAGTTACATTTTTTAGCGCACAACTTAAAAGATACTATATCAGCTCTAAAATATCAATGTTTAAAAACATTGATGATTTTTATCGATATATTATTAACATCGATATTTTACTTTTAAACGTCAATATTCGATAACGGCAATGTTTGGTTATCGATGTCGCATCACCACTTCGGAGCTGTGGGGCCGAGGCGAAGGACGTGATTCGCCGATGGTCACCAAGGCGCTGAAGAGAACCTAAGTACGGTAGACGCGCGATTATATGAGTTCCGGTTAACCGAAGACAACAAGGGGAAAATCCACTCGAAACATCCATCTACCGATTCAACAGCGGTAACACAATATTGTCGCACCCTAGAGATTCGTTCCTAGAGAGAATTCCCTAAGTACAAATTACCTGGGATAATCGCATTTTTACTGTAATAATTGAATTAGATCAAAAGGAAGGAAGTGGCAAACTTATTTCTTCTGTGTGAAGGCAATCAAGGGTGTTGTATTATCGCTTATCAGTATGTTAATTCTTATCTAATATATCTCCGCATCAGTTCATAGCCATAAATTAACTTGGAAAAAAGTCGGTCCCGACAGGACACCGTTAATGAAGTGCTGTAAACATTTTAAAGCTTCGTTTCTCCTGCGATTTTAACAATGGAGATTATTGTGACTAAGGGGGCTATTGTCTTCGAAATAATTTTCAAATTATGTGATGAGAAGGAACAAACTGTTTCTGTCACTTGGTAATTTACTAAAAATGACTCGTTCCTTCTACAGTTTTGGCATTTTATTAGAATTCCAAGCGATGCATTTTTTTCAGAATTAGATTCTACTTTTGCTGCGCTTTATTTTCTATTTTCATTGTCGCCTTGGTATCCTTTCCTGTAGTCTATTCATCCTCTTCGTCTTCGTTGTAGTCATTCTTCGTACACTTTCATTATGTGAATTCATTTCGTGTTTACCACCAGGGAAAAACAATTATTTTCTATTCTCGCAAGAAGGAACCTCCTCTCTGAAAACCTTTCTATTTAAAAAAAATATAAAATTAAACTAGGAAATTAAGCCAAATTCCTAGTAAACCGACAAGCGCAGCCCCCAACGATTGGCTAAAACGTAGAACTAATGTATTAGAAAACGAGGCTAAATACTTTGCTAATTGAAAGTTGAAAACTCAAACATATACTTACCAGGAATCAGTTAATGAACTTGTATTCATTGTCGAAGGCACAAAGGGTGTTATTTTTTTCAGCAGTATTAAATTGATATGCATTAGATTACAACGGAGCAAACACATTCTAAACGTGCAAGTTATATATAGAAAATGAGTTAAAAACTGTGAATGGAAGTTGTCAGCATGCAAAGAAGATTACATGGAACGGATTATTGTGGTTGTTTGCACTTCAAAGCAGAAGGGTGTGGTTTTAGGTGGTTCCCAGTGCTAGTTCATGTTATTACAAGATATGTGATTTATTCCCCTAAATAAGAGAAGCAAATTATTTCTATTTTAAACAGCAATATCAAGTCTTTCCGAGAGTTTACAAATACACTTTTTTTTAGATATAGATTACACATAGCAGTATCAAGTAGACCTTCCATAAATTTAACTTACAACTTGAAAGTTCATCGGTTAAATAAGCACGAGAAGATTTTCCAACGTTAACTGGTAAAGATACTGCTAGGGGCATATAATACGTTTAGTGAACCAGAACTGATAAATTAAATTATTTTATAATAAACCTGGTTTGCATTAAACAAATCAATACATTGCATTGGAATTGTAATGTTAACTTTACGATTCTTTATTTTTTTACATTTTATAATTCTCTTTTCGCAATTGCGCAATATGCATTCATTTCATGGAGACATTTAAACTTGGCAATTTTCCAATAAAAAGTAACTTGACATTATATGGTATCAAAATAAGTAACATTTTACTGTATTGTTAGAATATATTTGTCTAAAAATCTATATTTCTTTTAACTTTTAGCATTGGCAGTAGCACTTGTGTTAGTAATAACTTTTCGCTGTTAGTCAAAGGTATGGTGGTAATTTCCAGAAATACCTTAATATTGTAGAAATTTGAATAGTATTATAAATTTTATAAGTAAAATGAAAAAGTACTTCTTGTAATATAAAACGTCACATAATAGGTACTTCTGCACCGAGACGACCAATGTATTTCTGTCGAGTCCGTATTTCTATCGATATTGCTTAGTGTACCTTTCTATGCGTAGGGATAGACCATCCAGGAATCGGCATTCACTTAAAAATTTCTTTCTGTACATAAAATTACATTGTTTAATTTAAAAAAATGTTAAAATGAAAATACCCGAGAGCGGCGTCTGGCTAATCTGGTATTACGCTAATTCGTCCCACAGAAAGGTGGACCGGCCGTAACTATAATGAACGAAGATACCTTTCCAGTGAAAACGCACTACTTTGATTAATCGTCAAGAGTGAAGAGAATGCACTACTTTGATCAATCGTCACGAAAGAAACGCGTGCGAAGGCGGGGGCGTTGATTGATTGATTGGATTGATCTCTCCGGTCGCGTCAACGGCTTTAAGTCTATAGTGTCGTTAGAGAAATGAATATTTTACGCCTGGATGAGGCGAAGTCCCTCCTCCTTGAATGGTGAGATTCAACGCCAAACTACACGTGGGCTTGCGGGGCATTTTCCAATCCCGGTCCCTCCCGCAGGGCATCAAAGCCGCAGCCGTGCAAACTCGAAGCTCCCAATTGGTTTTCTGAATCATGTGGTAGTGCAATGCACGTTAAGTGTATGCATGTAAGGGAAGAGGTAAGGGTAGAGTGAGAAAGAAAAAATGACTCGCGATCCGTGTACCGTTTGTTAGAGTACTCCTTCAACATTCGCCTGATACGTGTCAGAGAACCTAGGGAAAACTATCAGAACAGCCAGCCGCTAGAATTCTCCTCCACGAAGCGACTGGATTCAATCTACATTTCGATTTTTTTGTGGCCGATGACATCAAGTCATTGTTACACCCCATGTCTAATAAAATGAATCCTTTTAATTAATTCGCGAACTTCCTTCTCAAAGGGGGCTCGTGGCCTTACAAATGTGCTTATCATTGTTAAAAATATAATTTTTATAAGGCAGGAGGTGTAACTAATGTCTATGGCCACTTAAAAACAACTCAAAGTATAGCCTATATGATCTGGGCTGTGACCGGGTGACCATCCTGTCGTGGTCATCCTCAGAGCTGGTCGAAACGTCGGCAACACAGCCTTCGACGCGGCGTCACCCGGGGACAGCCCAGATCACGCACATGACTCTTGCCGCGGAAGCCTACGACTTCACTCGAAGTATAGCAATCGTCTGAAAACCGCCTGCGTCGGGACTAGGACCTCCCGGGGAGAGTGGGCGCCGTGCGGGCAATGCTACCTCTGAGCGAGCGCTGCCGGAGCGGGGCGTCGGCGGCGCGTGCAGCCCGGCCGCCTGGGCCCACCTGCCGCCAGCCGCGGCCGCCGCCTCGGCCCAACGCCCGGCCCAGCCCGCGCCACCCACTCGCCGCACAGCGCTGGAGCTGATCACGAGACATCGGCACTTGCAGCATTATCTGAGAGAAGGGGGTTACGCCAATTATTTGGCCTTCAGTTGGGGATTTTAAAGTGTGAATCTGACTCTTTTCTGCCACACCCTTTTTTATAATTGAATATGTTTATTTCCGGTTTTACTCACGTTTTACGTAGCATTAAAAAATGTTTTAGTTTGGCACTGCCACTGTGCGTACTGCTCTTAAAATAATTTGGCACGAGCGCCAATGACCTTAGCTGTTGAAACATCATTACATCTTAATCATCTTCATCATCACACTCGGCTGCGGGTTACTCCTTCTCTTATTTATTTGTCCATGAAAATCTTGAAAACCCTTTACAGTGTAAGTTTATGTGTATTGCAGTTCAGCGAAGGGTTGACATGTGTCTCGACATGTGGGCAGAGCAATTGAATACGGCAGAATGCAGTGTTGTGTATCGGCCGTATGTGTAGTGCTGATGTTTATGCTATTAATTTGTTATTTTATTATTAAATTGATATTCTTAACACTTTATTTGATAAATAACTACCACCGAGCTGTACGGAATCAATATACATATATGTGAATACCTTATTTACAGCAGACTCAGATAACTCTACACATATGATATATCTTTTTCTAAGTGCTTGGTTGTACCAAGTTCACAAACAGATAAAACTCTGTTTCTTTTGATCACACATATCCTGAAATCACGAGCATAATAGAGAAATTCAACGAGCGAATAATAAGCTTGTTATTATTATTATTATTATTATTATTATTATTATTATTATTGTAACATTAATTCATTTTGTTACTAAAATAGTAGAAGCCGCTATGAACTTTCTAATGTTATTTTGAATCCTGACATAACAATAATTGTTTCAAGTCAAACTATAAACGTTAAGGAATCTTCTGTATTATAGATTAGTATTATTTAATTTTAAAAAATTATTGTAGAAATTAACGTAAGTGCACATTGAAATTGCTCAGGTCTCACATTGTGCTGGGTGGGAAAAATATGTAAAAATACATCAAGAAAATAAAAATAAACAAATGCACTTTTTTTCATTTCAGTAATGGATTCTGTATATCTAAAGTTGTAGAACAGCTTTAGAACACAAAATCATTTTTCATGCATATAGTCGTTGCATGACGTATTGATTTTGTATTGAGGTTAAATTTTACAGTGTCCACTGCTTTATTCTCATCTAACTGCATGAGATGTGTTAAAAGAGACAGTAAATTTATACCTTCAATCTGTATTTCTTTTTACTAATTTTACTTAGAATTAAAGCTTAACGCTACCTATATTTAACATTTTCAATAGGAACACACATATTACAATAAATTAAGTTAATGGTTATAGGAAGAAATACATGTTTGCGCAAAAACATGTTTGAAGGTTGTACAGCAGGTGATCATTTACGAAAATGCTCTAATGACTACGTTGAAACATTGACAACCTCTTAAATCAAACGTTGCCATTTAACGAACGTTTACGGGAATTAATGCTGTCGTTCACAACATTAAAAAATGAATTTCCAAACGCTCGGAATTTCAACGACGATGTTGGGAGATGTGTTAGAAGGTCCTGGAGATTGATGCCTTTTCGAGAGAGGAGGACAGTCCGCATGAGGGATGGCCTCCACTGAGCCAGGAATTCCGACAAATGACTGCCGCAGCATCTGTCACGTTCTAATGCTTCCCTCACTAACTTAAAATGTTTACAGTTTTGTGTGACTCTCGTGACGGTGTTTATCGCGTCTTAGTCTAAACGCCGTAGTCCGATATCCAGTGCGCGCATTTATTAAGCCCTCCGGCGGAGGCCTTTTCGTGCCAGGCAGGGAACAGGAAACATCGGAATATTTGTCACGTGGGCCCCCCTCCCGCCGGCGGGGCGTCCCGGCTGGTGCCGAGCGGGTCTGCGAATAGCCCGGGCCGTCGCGACGTCTTGAATGATATAGTCCGGAAACTTAAATAAGACCCACGCGCCAGAACATTGCCGCGCCGTAAAGCGACGGCGAACACCGAAGCCTCTCCGCAGATTTCCCGCCTACCTGAGTGAAACTTGCAAAACAGCGCGTTTTAAAGTAAACCACTCGAAGTTCAGCCCGTGAGGTAAGGCGTTATGGCGAAAAGCTTAGCAAAACATACACGTGTTTACATCTACATCTTGAAATAATGTAAAGTAAAAATGGAAGCAATAGCTCCGCAAACATTGGAAATGCAACGAACGCAAAAACAGTAATACTAGTGAACCACAAAATAAGAGATTCGCGAGATCTACGCATTTGAGAAATATCTTAAACAAAGACGTTCCAGTGAATAAAATGCTGCCACGAATATAAAATTGTTTATGTAAGTATAGTCTAATTATACAAATATTTTTTTAATGTCTGTGAAGTTTAATTTTGTAATGTATACTGTAAAAATTGGGAGTATGTCGTCCGATAAATAACTTTATTTAAATTTTTTTTGTAACTCATTCGCTGTGTTGAAGTAAAGATTCGAGGCAAAGGTTTTTCAAAGAGTAAATTTTATGAAATTAAAGTGAAATTCTCGCGAATGCATGAGGGAAAACGAAATGCAATAATTTTGATGCGAGAGTTAAATAAAGTGCTGTCAAGGAATTGAAACGGAAGTAGTGGAAAAATTACAACCTTCTGTGAGTATATGATTTTGGATTTCAAATACGTACATTTGTATGCATGGGTACATCTAAATATGCGTAATTGCGTATGAGAATTCATGTAGAAATGTCATATTAATGCATCTGTATGTAGGCCTACGTATGTGAATCTTCAATTTAATAGATAATTATAGGCGAATGATCGACTGATACAATTAGTTGTAAATTGCATGTTATTTTTTTGTTATTTATTCTGCCATCGAGCAAAATTTTAGAACTGATAATATAATATCACCGGTAAAGATTACAAACCACATAAATTGTGGGAATTCTGATGCGGTATTGTTGACAGAATTACATGAAGAAATAAAAGAAATGACCTCCGTCAACTTAATATATTTATGTAGAGAGTCGGCTTTCAACGGTTTTGCTGTCATCATCAGTCTCGCTGTGTGTGGCCAAAGTCGGGACACTGTGCCACATCACATAACTTTGAACTAGATGGTTGTAACAGCGTTGGAGAATGTCCTAAAAAAGAATGTTTGCTAAAATTGCAAACTTCTTTTCGTTTGGGACAATTTATTTTGGAGAAATGCAAAAAGTTTGCAAATATTTGAATTTTATACTATTTCGTGAAGAGTTGCTTTCTACATGTTATAAAAATAAAGGATTCGCTCAGAGGCGTTCCATGATCAGATCCTCTAATAACGATTCACAGACCGAAGCTCCCTTAAGAGATTAGAGCTTGTGCAGTGCCCCGCGGGTGGGAATTACCCGATTGGGGGAAATCCTGCTAGCCGACGGTAGGTCACCATTCAGCGAGGGCAGATCTCCACCTTAATAGACAAAGCATGCACCACACTTACGGGACGCTCCCTGTATCACTAACATCGAACCAACGTGAATCTCCGAATCTTAACGAACGGCAGTGTTAGTGCTGGGGCGGCTGATGCAGCGTGCGTTCGTGGGCCGCGGGGGGCGGTGCGGCCCCTCCCGCCGCACCAATTATCCCGAAATTATTCTCTTCATCAGGCGCGCGCGGGGCGGGCGGCGGCAGGCGGCCGGCTTCTCCCAAACACCGCGACAGCCCGGTAAACAGCCGCCGCGCCGCCTCGGCGACGCCGTTTTTTCAGCGCGCTTGGCAGCTCCTGTGCGCCTGCGGGGCGGCGGCGAGTGGCCTGGGCACACGCTGGTGATAAGGAGAAGAAGGGCTGTGAGGCATTGGTTCGGTTGGTGAGGCTACGTAGGCGGCGGGAGCGCGGTGATACTCGTAAGGTGGGTTGAGTGCGGCGTGCAGGGCGGCGGGAGCGGGTGGGCAGACGGCGCGGAGTGCGAGGGCGCGTAGGGTGGGATGATGTGGCGACGGGTCGCGTGGTGGGCGAGGCAGGGTGGCTTGGTGAAGGGGAGTGGGGACGAGGTGTGCAAATCCGGCACAACTTTAGCAGCATAGGTCGCGGGGTCGTGAAGCAAGAGGGTCGGAACAGTCTAAGGGATGGCCAAGGGCAGGGGAGAAGGTCGCAAAGGAAAGCAGCGGGATGGTGTAGAGCCGTGTGGAGGAATTATGTACGCGAGTCGATGAAGGTAGCGCAGACGATGAGGGCGGTGCAGTGGCAGCTGGATGGCATGCGCAGCGGGACGTGGTGGGACACGAGGCGCTGAGCGAGGAAGGGCTGTGCGGAGCGGCAGCGTTGGCACGCAGAAGGCGCGAGGCAAATCACATTAATGGATTATTTCGAGTTTTCGGGCGCGGCAAGGACAGTGATCATTAGTTCCGTAAGTGTGGTGCATGCTCTATCATGGGAGGCTGTGTCCTTCCGCAGGAGGATGTAGACAGGCTCTAAACGCCCGATTGGTCTCTCAACGTGTGTGGTAGTGTGTAAGTTAGTGCGTGTGTGTGAAATAGGGGAGAAGATAGGATAAGAAAAGTAAGGAAAGATTACTCGCCGTTCGTGGACAGTTTGTTAAGGTACTTCTCCGTTATTCGCCTGGAGTTGAGCAGAGCACATTACTGCCTACTTGGAAATTTCTAACCAAACAATCCCTTGTATTCCTCCCAACAATCTCTCCTTTTCTTGAAGACAAGCTACAGTTTTTTCTTTTTTTTCTTTTTTAAGTAATGTTTAGAATAAAAAGCAATTTTACTCTTTGTAGTTATTACTTATGAAACACTGTTCGCCAAATATGGTCTACTAGGGAATTTCAACTTTGTTCAAGGACTTATATTTACCAAGTATATTATAAATAATTTCACAATCTGCAGAAATATAAATATTATTGTAAATCTCGTCGAAAATTTCACATGAAATTTTTCGTTTATTTTACAAATGCATCTTGCATTGATATTGTGTCTAAATATCGTATGAAATATACTAGTTATTTAGGGATTATTCAAAGTAAGCAAAAAATTAAGTTTTATGAATTTGAATAATAGTTTTATTGCTTAACATAGTTTAGTAGTATTTCTTACATTTAAAAAAATAACTTTTAAATGTGGATTTCGAATTACGCAATTTATGTTCATTTCATTTATACATTTACGCATTTAGGTTGTGTAGTGTGTTGAATTAATTCAATTATTAATATAAGAATGAAACAAGCTGCATATAAGAATTTGTAAATTTACAAAACTAAATGAGTATTTTCTTAAAAATTGCTTCCGTTTTACATTTTTACTCAAAATAGAATGCCAACATTATAACGAATTGATCCACTCATAAAATAGACAAATACTTTTTTACGAAACATTTTACAGCTTTTGTGTAATGATTATTAATTTTGTTGACAACCTACATAAAAAGCAAAGGTCTAACTAAAAAGGGGGTTTACGTTTTGTAAAAGAATGTCTTTGTTCTGTAAAGCACATTTAATTTAAAAATTCCAGCTTATTTATTCAAAATTTATTTTATGATTTTTGGCCTCCTTCCCTATTATCAAGTCAAAATTAATTTCCAAACAAATTGGTAAATCAAGTTAATTTAATTTCCTATCATTTCTCATATTTTTTAATTCATCAACGCATTTCATTATTTCCAGTTCCTTTGAATCAGATCCTGATAATTGGATTACAGGATAATCAAATTCCGGATAACGGAGGTTTTCCTGTACACAGTTCTGCAAATTGAAGGGGTAAATAGGTTTTATATTTTAGTGATAGATTATAACTTGTTATTGTCTTCGATACGGAACTTGATATACCCTGCATAACACCTGGATAGAAAGGATCGTGGTTACATGTTCTCTTACGGAGGAAATTATGGGAGGGAAATAAGGAAAGACAAAGCCAAGTTAACATATAGTTAATTAATAACTAAGGAAATGTAAAGAAATAAAATAAGAAAAAAAGAAAAAAAATAAAATTATGTTTGTACCACGGGCGTTAACTATTTCTAATCATCTGATCATCTCAGGCGACAAAAAACTCTGGGTCCAAACGCCCTCCGGCATTTGGTCGCCGCTCGATCACGAGAATCATTAAATCGCCGATAGTGCATACATTACTGTTTTTAATTCATCAACATATTTCAGCATTTCCTGTACCTTAGAATCAGACCCCTGATAATTGGATTGCAGGATAATCGAATCCCGGATAACGGACGTTCCCCTGTACACGGTTCCTCGAATAGATAGTTCTTCTATTGTGCAGTTTCATTTGCATTCAATTGCGCATGCGTGTGGGCGTGTGTGTGTTTCCCCGCCGGTGGCCTAGTGTAGGGAGCGGGCGGCGGGCGCGGCCGGGGCCGCCGCCAGGAATTACGCCTAGGGCCTGCACGGGAAGCGGCGGCCGCCGCGGGCGGGCCGCACCGCACCGGCCCGGGCCTCGTCGAGTCGCGCCGCGCCGCGCCGCGCCGCTCCCACACAGCCGCCCCCGACAAGCCAGGGGTTGCTCCACAAAGTATTCAACTGCGTTGTCTATAGCAGTTCCATTCTCCCCTCCCAATTAATACGTTTTGAAACACTACGTCTTTTACTTTTCCTCCCGATATTATAATATAGAATGTAATATAGTATACTATATAATAAGTACACTATAATACTATACTTAATAAGTATATAAAGTATACAATAATACTCATACTTGTAGATGTAGTATACTATACTAAAGTACAGGGCAGAAAAGTATTGAAATCACATGAATAATATCATCTACAATTGTCGGTAGTAAAATGCGTGTTTAAAGTTCTTTTCAGCTCTAACTTCACAAGTACGTCAGGATTAAGATTTGTTAGCGCAATTACAAAGATGGTTAATATTGATGAAGGTGGCGAGGAGATAAATGCAAAAACTGTGATGTTTGTATGTATGTGTGTACGTCAGAAGTAAGATCTCGTGCCGTTTCCAAGATTAACTTATTTCACCTTTTGGGGATTGTTAAGATGAACCCTCACTAAAATTTTTAAAAAATTCTCGAAAATGTTTGCAGTTTTGTCTTTCTATTTTTTTTACTCGAATAGAAGATTGCATTTACCAATAGAGCTTATTTACGATTTTTATTAAAACCCCTGCAATGTAGAAAATCGCAGAAGCTGAGATTTCTTTCTCACTTCTATTTATCCCTCAATTTTATATCTTTAAATAATGTTAGGAACGTAAATAATATGTGTGAGTAGTTGTTGAGTAATAACACTAGAAGAGGAAACGTTTCAGTATGGTACCTATTCACACTAGTTTCAATTAACTTGAGATTAAAAAAACGTAAATTTAGTACTCAATGTGTTGTAATTATTTTGAATAAATTTAGTTATTTTACAAAAATATTGGCAATGGGTCTACACAATGACCTAAACTACGAAGTAATAAAAATAATTCATCAACGTGTGCAACGACAATTTAATTTGAGAAATTGTGGTTCCAAAGACACAATACAAATTCTGAATGTTTCCACCGAATGCTCAAAAACAAAACATCTTATTTTTATTTCCCCGTGATTTTCACCTCAGAGCACTTTAATTACATACGAAGAGCGAGTCAGTTTTCGGAGAAATGCTTGTGAGGCCCTTACACAAGAGCCCAATGCCCTCCCTGGATCCGCAATTGGTGCCAGCGTAGGGAGGTCCGGTGGCGCGGTCGTATGCTGTGAGCCAAGGTGGTCTATGCCTTTATAGAAACATGCTTACAGTTTTCTACGGAAGAATGATTGTACCCAGGTGTGTACCTCTTCGAAGAAAATCAACGACCATGAATATTTTCAGGGCTTTCATAATCGCATGGGCATAGATCTGGGTTGTACGTAGGATGAGTGAACATCCGAACAGAACTTCAGTAGCGTAGGCGAAACAACGTTGGCAGCATGTGGGTGGGCATTATCGTGTAACAGACTGATGCCGTCTGTCAACATTATTGGGCGTTTTGGCTTGATGACGCACTCTTTGCAAAGCTTCCACTGTGATCATCACACCCAACAGACATCCTATCAAGAATTTCACCTCCTGACACTCTTCGCGCTGTCTAAAAACGTACTGCACCTCACTGTTCCTGTTTCCAGGCCATCATGGTGATGTCGGACGCCCTCAGACTCGCCGAGTTCACTTCAAGCACGTCGAACAGACAAATGGCAGAGCGGTGAACGTTCGCGCTATTCCTACCCGATTGCTAATAGAGGGCACTTCTATACACTCATCTATCAGCTTTATCAACTTTCATGCCCGTTAAACAGTCTGTCTTGGTTTCATTTGAGTAACCCTCATGCGATATATCCGAGCGTCTCTCATCATTGTAAAACATATTGACCGTGACAGCTGCGTTTATTTTACAAAAGAGCGCTCCTCTGCATGCTTCTGTACATTTTCAGGTTTTATTGTTTGTTGTTTTTCTTCGATGAAAAGTAATACGCGTCTCTCATGCTAATTTAAAATAGCGAGTAAAAAATATCTTTTCAAAAAAATTAAAAAGAGCGAGACAATTCTTGTAAGGTACCAACTTAACTCCGTCTCTCAATATCTCTTGAGTCACTTTCGCATCGTTGAATATTTACTGGGATACTTTAGCGTGCTTAATTTTTGTATCAGGAAACAAAATTTATGTTTCACAAACTGAACACTGAATGCAGGTTTGATACAATCGTCCATTCCTCATCTTTATCTCTGCTATACATTCGTGTTTTCTATTCGAACCACTTTTATTGTTAGTCACTTTGTGCCGTCTGAGTAGTTTACGGATATCTTGGTTTAGAAGGCATTTTAAAACGTCGTTAACATGTAAGCACTGAAAATAAAATCTTGTGCACCTTGAACTGTAACAGATGCTATTCTGGCTCTGCTTAACCACAGACTTTTAAAAAACCATAAAATTCTCTATTAAATTTCCGTACTTGATAGTTTAGCTGCATGGCGTTTCTGTCTGACACTGTGATTTACTCTTCAGGAAAGAGTTAGGCAGTGTATTGGCGACACAAAGAATAGACATTTAATTACCAAGAAAATAGCTTCAGATAATTAAGGTAATAATGAATTACCAACGTTATATCCAATTTCCACTAAATATTTTTTCCATTTAATTTCTGGCGTATAATAAATCATAGAAAATGTAATTGGCAATTAAAAAACTAGAAAACTTACATGAAATGAAATTTATTTGAGATTACGTTGCGAAACCAGTATTCTTGATAAGCACGGACATCGAAATGGGCAACAGATGGACAGAAAATGTCATCATATTGCATAAAAATGTATCGAATCGCTAGTTATTTATTTGTAATGTCTAAACCACTGTAAGAGAAAAATGTGGACCAGGTATAATTTTTTTTTAAAAAAAAGTCCATTGTTATACAAAAATTGTTGGGAGAAGCTTGAAAATGTCTTACACATTAAATAAAAAAAATAAGAAAATTAATTTCTCTCCTTTTGTTTAGCTTCGTAGTTCACTGCATAAAAGATATTTCACAATTATAACAATTCACTTCACAATTACAAGAGCTGATCACAATTATTACTGAATGAGATTAAAAATGAGTATGTTAAAAAATCATACAGTCATGGCAAAATTTCTTTTTCAACACTGGGAATATTTGCGGGGATAACACAGATGAAGAAAAGAAAAAAAATGTTCAAATGCTAAACTTTACTACGCTGGTTAATATTACTTTCATTTCATTATTAATTTAACAATTTCAAGCTTGACTTTAACAATCCCACGAGTTAAATCAGTAGAAGAGAAAACCAGATTATCTCCGGAGTAAAAAATCTTCATTCTCTTCAGAAAATCTGTGCATATGTCATGTTTCAACTTCAGAAGCACATAAAGTACTTGGGGATAAGAAGTGAGAAGAACAGAAACACGTGGGACAGTAACACACTGCAATCGTTACAGTTTCTTAACCAGAACAATACAAGAAAGGAAACCCAAATTAAAATAAAAATAATAAAATCTACAACCATAATACGTATCTCAGTTTGTCATTTGGAGTTACAGGATAGTATAATCTTTTTATAACGTACATTAACCACTTTTTTTACTAGAATACTACATTCTTTGAGGCCAGATTTTTTTCCTGTGCCATTAACCAAAATATATCTGAAAAGTGTTTCTTGTTGGGTTCAAGTCAAGACGATTTGAATATTTTCCACTTCCCTTTGCACATAGAATTAAATAGAATGGTAAGTCATATCGTTGCTATCATATCGTAGAATGAACGTGAACGTATCGCTACCATCAACACCGAGTGTGTGTGTATGTGTATATGAGTGTGTGTATGTGTATGTGTGTATCTTGTGGAGTAATGTCTAGTGCATTCACGTTCCACTGTTAAGTCTTATGTTCGAGGTAGATTTTAATTGCCGTTCACATTTTGAATAATGGAAGAGGAACTTTTCTGATACTCTTGATACGTAAAGAACTCCAGTACTGTGTATGCTATTGCAGTACGCGTGGAGACTTTTTTGTTAAAATAATATTTAACTTATTTCAGTTTTTCCCAAGAGTATTATGTTTGCTCTGCAAAATGTCGGTCCGCCGGTGAACAATGCTAGCGGCCGTCGATTTGTTCCTAAAGTTATGTTCTTCCATCGATGTGGTTAATATCGCGAACGCATGAATTTCAAGTGGATATTTTAATTGTGGGGGCATTTTACATGAAACCCACAGGACATTTTTAAAATTAAAAAATGGCTCTATCGTTTTTGATTAAATTTTCTGTTGGATAGTTAAGGATGTTTAGGAGAATGGTGCAAGTCTCATTTTCATAAAAAAACGCTTATTTTTCGAATATTGCATAAATTCGAATTGTTTTCGGCGTCTTCCTACTACAATTACAACTTAGAAGATAGAGATTTTCCCCTTCATGAAATCTTTTCTTTAAAGATAGGTTTTGAAATAAGGTGATGTATATTTTTTGCAAATTTGAGTACTTTGCGCGTAATTTTGCCTGAAAAAATGGACGAGAAAGCACTTGCACTAGAAACTTGTTTTAGCACCACTAGTTTTACAACCATTAGGTGTGGTGTTGTTCTGCAGCATTGTTGCTGCTGCATGCCACTAGTTAAGGAATAAATAAACAATTGAAGGACTGAAGAAAGCAGCTCTCGCGAGTGTGGCGTGGGTGGGGGGCGGCAGCTGGCGCCGTGCGGGCGGGCGTTGCCCGTGTGGGGCGCCGATCAGCTGATCGCTGCAGCTGACTCCGCACCGGCCACCAAGAGAGAGAGGGAGAGAGAGAGGGGGGGAGGGGAGAGCGGAAGGGCGATAGAGAGAGCCTGGGACAGTCACTCGCGAGACCAACAGGTTAGCACGAGACAACAAGAGCGGAATGCAGCCGGACATCGCTAATTCAAGAGCGAAGAGAAGAGAACTTCTTGGGGTTGTGGACGTTTTGAAATACTACGTATGTTTTTTGTGATAATAAATGTCACGGAGCTTAAGCTATATATTGTAGGAAGACATTAGTATTACTATATCTTTTTA